ACTGACATTGTGTTACAGGTGAAGGGAATTGAACTCAGCCCTACCGATTCGATGCTCAGCTGGGGGTGGGGATGCGAGAATATCAATTGTAAATCAATGACTGGAAAAATAAGATAAACTGATGGGGATTTTTTTGAGTTGCTCTCCATCGCTTTTTTAGACCTTGCACATCACTTCTCTTGTGTCCCTCGGGTGCGGCGTTACTATACGCCTCTCATTCCAACCTCTAGCATCAAGCCATACTGATAACCTCGACATCATTGCCGTAGGCGGCTTCGCTACGAGAAAGACAAAGATCGTTACAGGTATCGCAACAGCGAGATACAGCCAAAAGTGCGATTTTCCAGGCAGATTATCCGTGTTCATGCTGAACAAACCCGAGACGAACGTCAACCGTACGAATAGAAGCGCAAGAATAGTCAATCGACTGATATTCGCCATTTCAGCAAACGATTGTCGCGCATCGATGATCTGGATAGTACGAAACATCTCCATATGACTATGTGTACATGCAGCCTCGCGCACAGAACACGTGATCTGTCTGATCAACCAACATTAGAGGCCAAAAACAAATACCACGGACAAGGTTTGTATACTGCATTTTCACAATAAAGAACGGAAAGCAGAGGCCTTTCAAGATTCATCAGTCACAAACTTCGAAATCAACCCTGGATCTAACAGCTACCTCAAACATCTACGGTCACCAACAAGTGTCTTCCCATCTAACTTCTGCACTTACATCAAGATACGCAGTCCGATATATCAGAATTGAATCAACACCATCGTCCCGTGGTCCCCCAAGGCTCTGCTATATCACGCCAGCAAAGCCATCAGCACACATAGCAAACCCGTCGTGTCCACCTTCGCCACGCGAGGAAGCACCTTCCTACCAATCACGAATAACAAAGTCAGTGAAATTGTGAATACGTGGAGTGAACGAAATTTTTCATCTAAGTGCATGTTCAGAATAGGCTACACGGGAAATAGATGTACCTAGGTACTTATGACTCTTGTTCAGCGCAATTGCTACAAACATGCAACAGAACATGAATGCTGTAGATGAATCAAGATTCACCGGCAAGCTGGATGCTGAGGTTTAAGCAAGATCAAATTTCACTTTCACATGACCAAACGTATCAAGAACGTAGTGACACGGATAGGAAGCGAGAACAGCTGCTCTAGCATACCCAGTACGCAAGATTATAGAATTTAGCTAGTGTATGAACAGTATGAAGCTTGTCGTACCTATTCGATTCTACACATATGTAGTACACGATACCTATATCGAGCGCGCTATCACTGCTGCCAGTCACGAGATAGAAAGCATCGAAACAACCTGCCGATAACTACGTCCATCGCATCGGCAACAGAGCCTAGCGCAATAGTCTATTCGCAGGTCTCATCTCTACTCGGTATTCTTCTGGCAGCGATACCTATGGAAAAGAATACACGATACGCAGATACATTTTGAAGTGATTCGAAGTATTGACGTCAAAGGTATTGGATGAGCTATACGTACGGTAGTCTCCAAGCGAGGATCTACAGAGTATAGCATCGTCTATGAGGAAAATATACAAGATTCTGCATTTTGGCTACCCAAATGGGAAAACTATGTAATACCCGGAATAGGTAAGGTCAGTGTGAAAAAGTTCGGTAGAGGCCTCGCTAAAATCATTTTATCTATGGTTCTTTCATTCCTGCGCTACGAATGGGTACCATGGTACTGTAGAGGAAACAAAACACTTCGCACGTATAAGAAAGAGTCCTTATCCTGTAACTTCCAGAGCAACAAAACGACCAAATGCCATCCATACCCCTATTCTACCGCCCCCACGTATTCGCCACTATGCAGATCACAGAAGAACTCTTGGACATTAGACTCGACTACAGAGTGGGAAGTCCCACTCTGCGCACGCTTCCTTTGCAAACAGCTGGTCTTGAGCCTTTCCCCGGATGGTTCGAGCTCTGGGCTCCAATCACAAAAATCCTAAAGGAGCACGTTTATGCGCGCTATGGCGCTCGTCCCATACGACGTTTCCGCGTGAACGATAACATAGACGACCTCCCCATCAGCGTGCTCATTGAGTCAGATATCACGGTGGCTGGTCAGTATGCACGATGGGGCAATGCCGTAAGAAGAATCAGACGCCTCCTACTAGACAGCGGATTCCACATGGCTATCGAAATCATAGACACACTGGCCGCTAATGGAACAAATTTGGAGATTATTGGAGGGGATGACCGTGAGATCATCGATACATGGGAGAAAGTACAGCGCCAGGTAATCCAACGACTGCAACCAAGCAATTGGCTTGCAATAGACGTACTCTACTGTCTCGTCGGCGATTCTCGTAAACCCACTCGATACCCCACAATATTCATATCTGCATTGGATGCAGACGAAGATATATGGTTCCGGGATATACTGCCATCAATCCATAAGACGGTCGGCTCATGCTTTAGAGTTGAGGTACGCCAGCATTCAGCCCTCCTGGCTGTCAATGGCGATGATGAGAAGGAGCCAGAGGACCGTACCATCTTTAACATCGGCGGATCTGCGGGTTATGGGATAGTTTCTATGGGAACATCAATTGGCCTAGGAGGACAACGGCGGTCAGGTACGTTGGGCATGGCAATCGAGCTCCAAAACAGCGAAGGGCACGACCTCGGCGCATTCGCACTCACGAATTATCACGTAATCGCAAGTGGCGACATGACGTCTTGGAAAGCTGGTGAGGCTATCAAACCCGACCATTCACTTGTGAAAGACGGTATACTCACCTTGATGTGTCCGTCTGATGCAGACCATTGCAGGAGCAAAAGATACTGGGAAAAGAGACAACAGCAATGTCGGACTGGGAACCTACCATATAATGGCTTCTACCGATGTATGATGGAAAGGGCTGAGAGAACCAAGGAAACTGATGACCTCTGCCTAGAGATGATTGGTTTCCAAGTCGAAAGCGCGCTTGAATCACATCGCACAGCAAATAGGTTCTTGGGGACCTTGTATGCATCGTCGGGTTTCCGAAAATCCAAAAACCCCGACTATTCTGAAGGCGTTGGCGGCGACTTTGGCTGGGCTCTGAATTGGGCTCTTATCAAGGTGCGGTCTCCTCTAGCAACAACAAACTGGGTTAAGCATTTCAGTGTAACAAAAACCTGCATCTACGGTGGTGCCCACGTCAAATCGTACCAAAACCTCCATCCCAAACAGAACTACAATGTAGCCAAGAAAGGAAGAACTACCACATGGACAACTGGAAGAGTCAGCGCCGTTCCAAGCATCTTGAACTTCAAAAAGAGTGGACTATCAGGCTTGTCACTACAGTTCAAAGAGAATACGTTGGATGGAATCGTGTTTGCCTTTGGCATCAGATCAGATGACGACATCACTGAATTCGTTGAGGAAGGTGACTTGGGAAGCGTCGTTCTATTGAATGAGTACTCATCAGAGGGGGCTATCGCTGTTGGCTTGACCATTGCCGCTAACAATGTGACGTCTATGGCGTATATGACGCCTATAGCGCATGTCTTTCGCGACATTGAAAAGGTTACGGGCGGAGCGATAGTTAAAATGCGAGATCTTGGTATGGCGGAGAAGGATGTCAGAACTTATCGGGGTATTTACGACAGAGATTAATTGTCGTTGGGTAGACTGTACGCTGGTATTGGTGGAGTATGGGTCAGTTAGTGTGAGTGGGACGAACGGGTCTTGGTTTCGGCATAAGATGCGGTTACCGACGTAGAATGTACCGAAAGAGACAGGAAAAAGAAAATGTGATTAAAATACATAGAAAACCTTCAACGGGTCCAGTTCGGATCATCCTGCCAATAGAAAACCTGAACAAAAGAAACACACCCTCACCTTTACCATCATTTACCAACAAAAGAGAAAGGGTTACAGGTAAGTATACATTGTCTACCTCAAGATGTCACTCCCCCCAAAGATACGCAAGCTACAAAAGTGGCGCGCGTCACTGCACGACCACCTCACTCACAACGGCCTCAGCGCCCCACTCCTATCATCCGCCCACTTCCCCGCAATAGCCTGTCTCGCACTCTTCCCCCAAAACGCAACCGGCATTGCAATCAACCCGCCTACAATCTGAAACAGCATCAACTCAATGCCCACCCACATGAACCCATGCGCATTAATCCACGGTACAATAACGAAGCTCAGCGCAAAAGACTCCGTAAACAACCCGCCACCAACGACCGCCAGCGCGGGGGCTGCCCATCGCGGAAATGCCTCGGTAACCCACAGTGTATTCGCCGTCATGAGGGTGACGAAAGCGAAACCGTTCATTCCGTAGGCAAAGTAGATGGCGACGGGACTCCAGTGACGGTGCACGGCGAGGCCGTAGAGGAGCGAACTTAGGCCGCCGACGATGACGGGGAGGATGTACGCGATGAGGTAGTGTTCTGCTTCTTGGACGCCGTGGTTGCGTTTCGAGAGACGTGTTATACCGCGACCAGTGACGAAGGTGCATATGGGCAAGGCAAGGAGGGCGCCACAGCCCGAGGCAACGTTTACGGTGCCAATGAGCTCGGGGGAAATGTTGTAGGGTTCTGCGAGGAGGACACGTGGGTACGTAGCACCGATGAACATCATGCTCGCTGAGTTGAAGCCTGAAGCGACAAAGACCCAGAAGATGAGGGGGCTCATGGCACAGTAAGCCATTTGAACGTAGCAGCGACCCATTGCCCTCCAACACGCAAACGGCGAGCGAGCGATACCGATGCGATCGCGGAGTCCGGCGAAGCCCCTGCGAGGCGGGGGCTCGGGGAGGTCGCGGTAGAGGCTAGAGTCTTCCTCGGCGTCTTGGTAGACTGTGAGTTTTTCGGTTGCGCTTTGCATAAGGATGAGGCCGTCGAAGGCGACGGTGGGGCGCTTGAAGTACGTCTCTGGGTATAGGAAGAAGGAGACTAGGAAGGAGATGCAGAGCGGAATCAGCCAGATGTGGTAGAACTCGCGCCAGTGGCCGCTGTGGTTGGTGATTACGGGGACAAGGGCGACACCAGAGGTGCCGAAGCCGCCTGCTACGCACCACATGGTGGCTACGGCTGTGGAGCGCTGGTTGATGTAGGTTAGGTCGATGATCATTAAAAATACCTGAGAATTGTAAGCGGAAGGCGTTGCAAATGTAGAGGGATATGGACTTACGAGTGATAGTGATAGGCCTTCTCCTAATCCAATAAAGCACACTGCGGCGACTAGTTGCTGAAACGATTTTGCCTCCCCGGCCCAAACCATGGCGAGTATAACGACGGCATTTGCGATTAGAAGCGTAGGTCGACGGCCCATGCCAATAGACAAAGGTACCCACAGAAGACATCCAAGACCCATGGCTAATGTAGGTCCCGTGACAAGAGCCTTAATCAGCCATGGCGGTATGTGCTAATCAAATAGTGTCAATAGCATTCACACTGAATCCAAAGAGTGAAGCATACCTCTGAAGCAAACTCAGTCTGCACACCATCCAACAGAACAGTTGAGGCTTGTGCCGCAGTCAGACAAAGGACCGAGTACAGTGCGATGGAAAAGATTGCTCCGGCAGTCTTCCATTGACTCCAGTTTAAAGGATCCGCCTTGCTCTCCGAGGGAATAGGTAGCTTGAGTGTCTTCCCGTCGTTTGTGATCAAAAAGGTGCTTCCAGAGAGGTCGTAGGATTCCCGTTTAACAAGCTTAGCCGTACTCGAAGTCCTGAGCCGGGTCATGCGGTCGACAATATCCCCCAGAGGTGCCATCTTCTCAATGTCATCGCAGTTTGACAATGGAGACATGGCGCGTGGCTCAGCGAGAGGTTGTACGCGAGGTGGTGGAGCCAGCTCTACCTTTGGGTGTGGGTCTTCCAGCGACGCCGTAGTGTTGTTGAAGTAGGAGTCGGACATGATTACATTCGTATAAAAACAAAAAAACGAGAGGAGCAAGGACCAGGATGCCGGCGACGCGCGTCGGCGCGGGAGCAGCACGAGCAAATGTCGCGAGTTGAAGAAAGCGAAAGGACTCACTGGGCAACTGATAACTCCAGAGCAGGGCCGCACAGGGTGACTTTAATCAATCAGAACAGACCCTCACCGCCGAGCTATCCTTTGTAATCGGCTGCGGGTAATGCCGTACGTGCGTCAACGGCGATCAAGATGCCTAGCCCAGTGTTTATTCTAGCGCCGCTTGAACTGCCCTTCTCACTCGTCCGCACGTCCGTATTCGGGTATCGTAGACTCATTTGATGTGCATTTGTCGAAAATATGTGCCCCGTGATAATGAGCTTGCTGCTTCATAACATTCTTAGCGAAGCCACGATAGCGCCGAGCAGAAGCAAGAAAGCAAATCCAGCAGGTGACTAACTACCGCCGAGTATAGTTTTGATATAGTCCTGCAGGCAACTCCATGCAGCAAGGTGTGCGAACGCCTGAGGTGCTTTCCGAACATCACCGATTGGGCACACACAAAATCTTGTACCGAACTGTATGCAGGTGCAGAAGCCTGCGACACAAAGAGCCTCCTCTTTCTCTCCGGATAGCTGGCGTGGCAAGGATACTCGCTCGGCGCAACCGTGTTTCAAGAATGCTGTGTGAGCAATATTGGGTTTGGGACGTCGTGCCGGCGGAAGCCAACGGCTGATATACAGTTGACGTGCGGCAGTCAACCGACGTCTGTCATTCGTTCATTCACGAGCTTGTTTCACCACCTCATGACGTGACCTTGCTCAGCTCAAACGTGGAGATGTTTTAAATGGAGAGGAGATTCTCCGCTGCGGCCAGGAATCGGGCTTGAGGAGCGGAGCCGGAGCATTGTTGTTTGCGGTGGATTCCTGGTTAAGCTGAGTAAAGATGCATGCGGTCGATCCGGGGACGCGAGAAGGATGCAGGAACCACTCTCCGCGTCACCGGGGTGCGTCACGTCACATCGGCATCCTCGTGCTCAACAAGAACCACACGAGTTCTCCGACCTCAAAGTTCCTCGTGCTCTGAGTGATCTGTAAAAGTACGGTACCTCGAGGCTAAAAGGGTAGGAAGCGAGGTTCCGTGGCAGCGCGTAAGCTTTCGGGCAAAAAGGAACCAAATAAACCCGAGCCCAAGCCGAACAGGGCGTTTGCGGCCATTGAGAGCTGCCCAAATGGCCGAGAAAGTGCCTCGAATGCCTTTTCGCAGCCCCAAGACTCTCACTAACTAGTGTGCTGCAAGAGAGCCCCAACACACTTCAAGAAGTGGCCTCTACGCCCCATCGTGCCCCCTCGCACAAGACAGGAAGGCCTAGCGTACCTCGCGCAATTAATAGACCAGCCACAAGAGTTCGAGACCTTCGTGAAGGTAACGAACTCCTTCTATGACGAGTGATTTCTATTTTTGAATTTCACAAAGACCCGCTGAATTCCTTGGCATTATTCAGTGTAGGATTCGCGGCAAAACGCCGCATAGATGCCACAACCCACACGCTCTCTCTCAAACCTTTTATTATATCTCTAATTGCCTCTTGTTACTTTTTCGTTTCTCTCTCTAAAAAGCAGTTACTGTACTGCATCGATCAAAGGCGCAAGCCACGAAATACTAGAATATTGTAGGAAAACGGCTTCAAATGGCGGGAGTCCTTTTCACGAACATGTATATAGGCAGGACATCACTCCCCTTAGATACAAAACACCTAGGAATAGGTTCCACGAGGCAAGTGCGACAACACTATAAGACCACGGCGGGACCCGCCCGAATACCCTATGGGAGGTTACAGATAGGGCGTTAAACCACAATCAACATCAACATCAACTAACTGCTCTGCCCTAGTTCGGCAAGGGCTGAGACAATGCGGGGTGCAAAGGGGTTGCAGGATTAGGCACCACGATTTTTGGACGTTCCTGATTCTTTGGGAATTCTCCGGGATCGGCAGCATCTGTCGGCTTTGAAACCCTGCCTATATCCCTTTCGGCGTAATTCCTATACTTTACTAGTATTAATGCCCAAATTGGCGTCGCCCGACATGCTAAATGGCAAAGGAGAATTCTTCAGCCACGCGGGAGCTAAGCGCAACACGGCCTTTGCTTGATAGACCTTACAGGTTTGTCAGCGCCCTTATCAGTTGTATCATTGTCAGAAGACGATCTCAATGTGATGGACATGATGGCCGGTAGGGATGGGCGCCATATGCAAGCAACTGCAGCCGCTGTGGTACATACGTATGGTCAGATGCCATGATATCCAAGGCGTAGTGCTTACATGCGCTAGCTGATTGTGGGAGGGGAACCGTTGATCGAAGCTGGAAGCTGACATATCACAGCGTCTTAGGTCATCGGACCGCTAACCGCCTGCCTTGATGCAACTCAACCTGCTGTCCGTTATACTTGCCTCGAGAGCGAGTAAGTAACATCGTATTCCCCCTCCATCTCAGTGATCACGAGTGTCGGAGGTTAATGCACCATATTATACCTCCTCTTTTACGAAGCAACAACATCATTGACGTATCAACAATGCCCACGTTGGCGCCTATGACGAAGTTGGGTGTCGAGTACGAAACAAAGCGATCTGGGCATTACTCGTAAAGGAGCGGATGCTCCCGGTTTGTGTCATGAATCAATACCGCATCGTATGTATTCAGCTTTGGTTGAGTGGAGTTGCTGGCGCTCGCTTTCCCAGCCCCTGACGATCTCAGGCTCAGTAAATTGTCGTTTCAGCCCGTCTGCATGCAGATACAGTGGTAGACGAGCATTGAGTTTACCATGCTCTTATCAGCTTTACTAGCGATGTCCGCTTACCAGGCTTTCACTAGTGAATCCACATTTTAAGCATGGCAGCCACGGATTGATACAGTAGGGCTGGAATATGGGCTGATTCATGGACGCGTCGGTCATGTGCGGAATGATCAAGGCGAGAGCGAAGACGGACGGACGACGGACGATCGATGCTTCATTCCAACTACATGAAGGACCCCCAAAAAGGGTTGAAGAGATCTTGGGTATCAGGTAAAAGCTAAGCGGAGGTAGAGATGCAGAATATGTGACTGGGAGGTGCAAGTGCAAAACGCAAAGATTGCCAGAAAAGAAAATGTGCATCATGCGTCGTACCCAGGGCCAGAACGCACCGAACGCCGTTGGAAAGAACGGCAAATGAAGAAGCAAAGGAAGATAATATGGCAAAAATTGGTGGTGGATTGGAGATGCGATTGAACTTCCGCTCATCCATTGTACCATCCGTTTGAGCCGACACTTGTCTGTTCGCTCTCACGGTGTGGTATGAGCGGGACTCTAATGTCGAAAGCTTGGATGAACATTTGCCAAGACGGATAATCGAGACTGAAGACGGCCTGGTGTTTCTGAACATTGTCCTCACGTTGTTCGGATACGCCGCGGGGTTGCGCTGGAACTACCGAATGTTAGTGGGGAAATATGAGACATGTAGCGTTACACGTACGTAGTAGCGGAAGACCAGCTTCATCTTTGACAATCTTGGCATTGCCTTCTCTCACCAGGAAACTGATGTAAAAGAGATTCTCCACCGTTTGTCCGAATTCTTTGGGGTTAATGGCAAAGTCAAGCAGACTGACAGCAGGTTCACCTTGCTCTGTCATGGCCATCCTGTGGCGCCGCAAAGCAGCGGATTGGTCTTCGTCGGTGAGTTCGTCATCTGGGATGGCTCCGAGCTCCTCCTCGACGCGATCCATATTCTGGGTGATATGTTCAGTTAGTCGCTTCCGGATGCCTTTGACGAGGTTGGTCAAATTGTTAGCCTCGCTTTGCTGAGTGTCGTTCTGAGTGATCTCTTGTGGTCGGGTTGCGGGTCCCAGTGGTTGACGTTGTGATCTAGCTTTTCGTTGAGTTGTGCGGACGCGTTTCTGTACTGACAACGGTCCCAAGAGGAAAGCTGGTGTTGGGGGTCGCTTGTTGCAGGGAAAGCATGCTTGTCGACCTAGCAATGCCCAATCGAGACCATCAGGATCCTCGTTATCATCATCACCTACAGGTATCACTGGCGCATTCTCTTCGCCAGCAACGTACCCCCCTGACTTCATAAAGTATATGCATTTGGATACGAATTGATCCAAGTCAATGCCGGTAGCAGAATTACCCAAGCTATTGTTAAGCTTCTTTCCCGCCAAGTCGCTGGCATTGACCAGGAAGCGAGAGTCGACGGTTGCATCGGCGGTCTGTCGTACTTTGCCAAACAAGCTGTTCTGTGTCTTAAGAATGTCAAGCAGGCCGCTATTTCGCGACTGAATAAGGTCGTTGCGGTTGTCTAAGATAGTTAGTCATGTCGATCATCACGACTTTCACCCCACTTACCCTCTAGCAAGCGAGCGTGATCGCGCATATTGGCGCGCAACCTTCGCCGCACTTCTGGGTCCTGGTGAGGGTCGTAGAACCGCGAATGTTCCTCGTCGTCGTTATCAGGCTGTGTTTGTGTAGGAGTATCAACAGCTTCCAAGTCATCACCTTCTTCCTCCTGCTCCTCTTCATCTTGGCCATCCTCGTAGACCTGAGACTGCGGCAGGCTGTAGTTGTCGGTCCTCCTCCTCTTACTGCCATTGCCAGATGTCGATCCCGAATCCGGCGTAGGCATACGTGCCGACGCGCCCCGCAACCCCCCCGATTTACCTCGTGGTGTTTTTTCGCGCATTCCAGGAGTCTCGTTCTCCTTGTCTGAAGAGCGTGAAGGGCTCAGGACTGAGTAGGACGATGTGCGTTCATTGTCGCCATTTTGCGGTCCAACCGAGGGGTCGCGATAAAGGGAGTCGACGGTGGAAGCGCGTGTTTGTGGCGTAGCAGACAGGTGGGTATTGAGACGCGCCATTCCAGGAGGTCTGACGGTGAAAGCGACGCAAGAGCGATATCGAAGCGATTGTGCTGGTGATGGAGTTTGAATTGATTGGCTTGGATGGAGTGTGCCTGAACGCGGTTGCCCGATACGCAAAGCCCGCGGTTTAGCGCGCTTTTGATCAGGTAAGTGCGACTGCGGTCGTCAGCCAAGCCTTCCGCCACGCGAACGCTCTTTCCGTTCGCGTATCCCTGTCGCCGTTTTGCCCTGCGGAGCATGTGATGTTCAGGCCTCCTTCACCCGCACGAACGTGCATAGCGTGCATAGACGTGTGGAGTGAAGTACGTTTCCAAGGTTCATGTTGCAACCCATATCGACGCTTGTCATGTGTCCTGGGTAGTCAGCACATGAACAACAACTGCCATCCAACTCTTGATCCTATCACATCCATGGCCTGCGATTCCGATAGCGAACAGCTTCCCCACTGCGCATCATGGAGGCCTTCAACTTTGCGACATCTCTTGACCTAACCGAGTTGTCAGTTCATGTCCGAATGTAGGATTTTTGTCATGTAGGGACGGGAACCGTGCTGAAAAGATGCAGAGATCGCCTCGATGGCAACCAGAAGCCCATACCTTATTCAGTCTTGCTGAAGAGACCGGACCTAAGACACCGAGGGTCAAACATCAAGTGCGTCCGTTCACCTTTACCTGGTGGTGGATGGGAATGAGATGCTGATGTAATGGTGATAGTCCCTACTTTGAGCTCTACGTTACCGCGCAGATATGGGCTGATAGCAAGCCCCTCACCGTCCCGGTTCAAACGGCCTACAAGTCGTTCAAGAATGCGCGCATATGGAACGAATGGCTTCAACTACCCGTGACGTATGCAAACCTGCCGGCGTCGGCGCAAATGGCCATTACCGTTTGGGACCTGTCGCCCGCCGAAGACAAGGACTCGAATCTTCACGCCGTACCCTTCGGAGGTACCACAATACCGCTGTTTGACGAGGACAACGCACTGCACAAGGGTAGGCAGCGATGTCGGATACACCGCTTCAAGGCGGCAGATGGCCTGACCAATACCACGACGCCCTGGGTGATACCACCGGCGCGGAGACCGAGGAAGGCACAGGTGGTTGAGGATACTGTAGATGAGCAGGTTGCTGAAATGGAGCGGTTAGAAGGGCTGCTGAAGAAGCAGGAAATGGGTGATCTGCCCACTAACACCTGGCTTGATGCACTGGTGTACAAAAAGATGATGCAAATACGCAAAGAAGCGCTCAAGGCCGAAGCAGCAGCTTTGAACCGACAGAGCAAGGCGAATGGGATGAACGGTGATGCCCATGCTGGCGACGAAGAGCTCTTCTACCTCGATATCGAGCTTCCGCGCTTTGACCACGCTATCATCTTCACCGATGTTGAATATCCTCCTCCGCCCGTTTCGGACTTGCGGCTGCCTGCGGAAGCCGATGTGAGGTTACGCCCACCGCCCGAAGTCTCTTTCGGCCCAGGCATAGATATTGACGGCATCGGCTACGGTGATGCCGATGCTGGCCGCCTCATCAAGATCTACGACCCCGAAGTCGGGCGAAGGGTCAACCCCGCCGAAGACAAGCATCGCGAGTTGATGCGCAGTCAGCAGACGGATTCACTGGATCGCGATCGAAAGCCCAACGTGCACGTACGCGATAAGCTCAATCTCTTGCTAGCCAAGGGTCCTCTCGAAGAAATTACATCGCATGAGCGAGACGATATCTGGAAGTTTAGATATTTCCTGCTCCGCGACAAGCGAGCTCTTACCAAGTTTGTCAAGTGCGTCAACTGGAAGAACCCAAGGGAAGCGCGACAAGCGGCACCTTTGCTTGATAAATGGGCAGAAATTGACGTGGATGATGCCCTTGAACTACTGGGACCCCATTTCGATCACCCAGTAGTACGAAGTTATGCTGTCGAGCGCCTCAAGAAAGCAGACGACGAAGAGCTCCAGCTATATCTCTTGCAGCTGGTACAAGCCTTGAAGTATGAAGCGCCTGGTGAAGGCGATGACTCATCACTAGCACGCTTCTTGGTTACCCGCGCAGCCAACAGCTTCACGTTGGGCAACTTCTTGCACTGGTATCTCATGGTGGAAATTAGTGACACTAGTACCGACCAAGAGCCAGAACACCGCGACCTCTTCGCCAAGGTTGAATATGACTTCATGGTCGAGCTGGAGAAGACACCCGAAGGTGTCGAGACGCGCAAAACCTTTCAGCGACAAGGTGAACTTCTCACCATCCTAGCCAAGATCTCGAAAGACGTTCGCTTTGGAGGCGGCGATCGTCCCACAAAACTCGCAAGACTCAAGAAGGCTATTGCAGACCCCAAGAATGAGCTCACCAACTTTGAGCCACTGCCACTGCCCCTCGATCCATCAGTCTATATCACTGGCATATCTACAGAAGACTGTAATGTCCTCAAGTCATCACTTCTGCCAATGGTTCTCTCCTTCAAGACCACTACTGCGAACCCATACCCCATCATTTTCAAGACCGGTGACGACCTGCGACAAGACCAACTGGTTATCCAGATCATCACACTGATGGACCGACTCCTGCGCAAAGAGAATCTTGACTTGAAGCTAACACCGTACCGTATCCTCGCCACCTCCACCTCCGCGGGCGCCTTCCAGTTCGTACCCAGTATGTCCATCGCAGCAGCATGCCAAAAGCACAAAGGTTCTCTCCTCGCCTACCTTCGCGCCAACAACCCCGACGACAGCGCCCCCCTCGGCGTCCGCAAAGAAGCCATGGACACATACATCAAGTCCTGCGCCGGCTATTGCGTAATAACCTACCTCCTCGGCGTCGGCGATCGCCATCTCGACAACCTCCTCCTCGCCCCCTCAGGCGCCTTCTTTCACGTTGACTTTGGCTACATCCTTGGCCGAGACCCCAAGCCCTTTGCTCCCGCCATGAAACTCTGTCGCGAGATGATCGAAGGTATGGGCGGCGTCCAACACCCAAATTACCTCGTTTTCAAAGAATACTCGTATACCGCTTGGTCTACGCTGCGCAAATCTTCGAACCTTATCTTGAATCTGTTTGCGCTGATGCAAGGCGCCAATATCCCGGATATCAAGGTTGAGCGCGAGGGCAGTGTGCGCAAGGTGCAGGAGAGGATGTGGTTGGGTAAAGGCTCCGGTGGCGGTAAAGGTGAGGACGAGGCGGCGCGAGAGTGGGAGGGGCTGGTGGAGGAGAGTCTGGGTGATTGGAAGGCAGGTGTGATTGACTGGGCACATGAGTTTGTGCAAACGTATTGGCGGAAGTAGAGCTTTCTGGCGTGTTTGCATGGTGGTCTGTGCGGGTGGTGATGGAGGTGTATATAAGTCGTCTTTCCGACGCTCAGGACTTATTCTCTTACTTTACACTATGAAAATCACTTTGATTTAAAAACTGCGTAGAAGAGTTTTATGGTTTTCTTTCAAAATTCACAATGATTAGCTCGATGGAGGGTCGGGTTCGAAAATACACTGCGGCTGTCCAGATGTCTTCTCTCTCCCTTCCTCTCCCTCTTCTCTCTTTCTGCCCTAAAAACTGAAAATTCCAGGACAGGCACTTCATGCTGTTCTCCAACTTTCTCTTTAAAAAGAATGGGTATCACCCCCGGGCGCCTCTGGTTCTTCTCTAAAAAAAAGCGCATAGGATGGGCCCATGTTCCTCCTGTCTTCTCTCTTCTCTTTTCCAAAAGATTCCCCCTGTCCTTGGATGGGTCCTCATCCCTCTTCTTTCCTAAAATTACTTCATGGGCCACGTATGTGTCTCCTTTCCGTCTTTCTGAAAAAAGAATACAAGGTGGAAGAGGATGAGTGGGGTTGTGTCTTTTTCCTAAAATTGATAAGAGATGCCGAAATGTCTGGCTTTCCTGGCTTTTCTCTTAAAACTCGAGTACGACTATAGGATGGCGGTCTTTGACTTTTCTCTCCTTTTCTCTCCTGTTCTAACAAAATATGGTCTGGTTTTCTGCTGTTTAAAAAATCTCTCCCAACGCCACACATGCGCGGCTTTCTGTCTTATTCTGGAATCACAGAGCATTTCAGTTCATATCCCTCGTTTCTTCCTTCTTTCTGTACGTAAAATCGACTGAGATTTCTTTACATGGCTGTCCCTCCTTCCTTCCTTTCCCACTTGTCTAAAAACTGTACTGTGCCTTCTCATGGCTGTTCCTCGCTTTCCCGTTTGTCTAAAAAATTCACCTCGCCTATCCCATGGCTGTCCCTCCTCTCCTTTCCGAAATTCAGTTTTGTGACACTCATGGCTGTTTCTCCCCTCTCTTCCTAAAATGAGTATTTGAAGAGTATTATGTGTGGCGTTCCTGTTGTTCCAAATATTTACAGCCATCCTCTGTATGAGTGGATTTGTGTCTTTCTTCCTAAAACTCCAACTCAAGAGAAGGATGTGCTCTCTGTCTGTGTGTCTGTCCTGTTGTACAAATACTTCTTCTTGGGCGATACAAGTCTTCTACCTATCTCCCATTTTTCCTAGAAATTTCAAAAGTGGAAACTGTCACTGGAATGTGTGGGTTGCGGTTGCTGCTGCTGGTTTATTAAAACTACTAAGTCTACGATCCATGGGTAGTGTTCTGTCTTTTTCCCTAAAAACGACTTCGACCGCCATTATGAGCTTTCTGCCTGTCCTGGTGTTTAAATCCTACTTTCTACGTGGCTAGACCTCTCTATATCTCTCCTGATCTTTCTAGAAATTCTAAATGAGCACGCCCTTGAAATAGGAATGGTTCCCAGCTGCTGGTGCTACTTTTTCAAAATCCCGACATCTGGATATTGTCAAGCGTCAAGGTTGGGGATGATCCTCTCGTATTAGAGCTATCGGAAAGAGGTCTATATATGCAGTGGGAAGAGGGAGTGAAGGAGCTAGGCCGTAAATGTACTAGCGGGTAAATGGGTGGCTGCCTGGTTGCCTAAGGAGGAGCCAAGGGATAAGCCCTAGGGCCGACAGATATGACGGGTGTGTTTCTTTCTTGTTGACACGGCAAAGGTGTCGAATATCACTGTCGTTGCAACGAACAAAGTATATGATATTTGATTAGTAGTGAGCAAGAGCTGGATGGAGAGATCTCCATATGTACGGGTGCGAGCTAAGCGGGAAGCTTGGTCTAACTAGTGGTCCAAGCTTCCGGCCCGGAAAAACTCGCCGGGCTGGCTGTACGCGCATGTCCCGACAGCCTTCCAAAATATCATCGATGCATGAACATGTTCGGCATTCTTCTGATGTTGCAAAAATAAATAAAAAACTCTCTGAATATATGAGACATGTGTTGGCCTGGGTCGGGTCTTTGTTCTGCTCTCTACTAAAATTCTGTCAGATATTCACTCTCATCTGGAATACTGATGAAATAGGTAATGAATGGTGATGATGTTGATTATTTATTGTGTTGTGGTTCTGTCTACGGTTGTGGGCACACCTAGGGGGTGCCAAGCCTTCCTGTGATCCGATTGGCTCTCACAGATGCCGGGTCGCGCTAGTCTAACCCAGCGTCTGTACGCTCTCATCTTCAACAGTGCTATTATCTGACAAATTCATACCTTCCAAAAAAGTATGATGGGGATATTCCATGTCCGGCTTTCCCCTCGCTTTCTCCGAAAAGACTCCAGAAGCCACTCGGATTTGTGGGCGCGTGCCGATTTGCTACGTGTTGTCATATTATGGAGTGCGTCGTCATTCCCAAAACTAGTCGCCATCATCAAATGTCTGGCGTTCTCTGCCTCGCCCCAAAATCACAGAAAGCTCATGGCATGTGTTGGCACCCAGTAGTCACCTCTACTTTACCGTTCTCTACAGTTGCATTCTATTATCCGAAAATGTAAAGCACATGGTTGTGTATTCCTCCTTGTACCAAAATGAATATGCCTTGAATCCCATGTACTGGCCTGAGTCGATCTTCTTCATTTATTTAGGGATGGTATGGTCGAAATAACACCGTGATGAATCTATGGCTGATCTGATGTCTTGGCATTGTTCTTTTGTAGTGACCTGTCTCTTTGGATCGAAAAGCTCGGTGCTGGTAGCGGTTTGGATAGCGGCGCGTGATCAGCGAAGGAAAACATGGATTGTGACGGCTCAGCTCCAAAAGGATTTACATGTCTTTGTTTCACCTGCAGATGTCGACGACAGCGCATATATCGTCACTCTACAATCGAGAAAGAAGACTCTTGAGAGATACAATGACACCAGCAGTCCTTCTACAAAAGCGCCTCTCGACCAGTATGCAGCAAAAATTGCGAATGCGCAAGTAACATCAAGAGATTTCGGTACACTCGCGCAGACTCCGCAACAATCAATCGGATCGGCATGATTGATTCCTATCTAGGTTAAAGGCTGCCTAATGAAGTAATTCTTTAACCTATATAGGAATCAATCATGTCAATCGATTGATTGTTGCGGAGTCTGGACTCGCGACAGGATCTGGCAGAAGTATTTCGGCACCCAAGTATATGTCTGAGAAAGATCAAGCAGGTGTCACAGAGTATGTCTGACCCTTAGACTGGGCACTCATTGAGTTAGCAAAAGGCCGGTCGATAGCGAATAAAGATGTCAGAAGAGGAACACGGTGGTGCTAGCAGAGATGTCAACAAGCAAGTCAAGCTGGCTTGATTCTTATCGATTGCAGATCACAGACAATATAGAGGCTCGTGCACAGTGGCACGTCCCAGAGAATGGTCTGTGATCTGCAATCGATAAGAATCAAGCCAGCTTGACTTGCTTGTTGACATCTCTGGGTGCTAGTGGCATTAAGACTAGTCTTCCTCCTGGCATGCCGGCGTACAGGTGGACTAGCCTTAATGTTGGCATGTGCAATACTCGTCGTGACGAAGTATTCGTCGCAAAGTACGGCAGAACATCCGGCTGGTCATTCGGTCAGATCAACAACGCCATCACTGCCATCAACCCTGCGCAGAACGAAGACTTTAACGATGACGCTGCCTGCGTAGATGGGTACGCGCAACGTCAGCATGGCTATTGTTGGAGTGTGGTGAAGAGGCGCAATGTCCATGGACCCTTTGTGGTCTCCGGTGACGCGGGAAGCATTTACATACATGATCCATCGGCTAAGTGGCTAGGGCTTTTGTTCGACGGCACAGGTATCGGTTCGGGTTTGATGATGTCTATTGATATGGTTTTTTCGTGATATTGAGCTCGTTACTGGATAAAAGGTCACTAAGCCAAAGTTCGATATCGTCGTCCCTTGGTCAGCTACAGATTGGGATGTTGATGGGATTTGTGATAGTTGAGATGACGGAGCTCATATTTTCTTTTTTCTTTTCTTTTTCGATGGCTTCTTAGATACGCGATACCATAAAAGTATTGAAGTACTACTATAAAAGACCAATATCTTTCCTGCTTCCCTCTGTTGGGAATCGAACCTGCGGTAGATAAGGCAGCTGGTTGCTGCATGCACGAGCTTGGATTACACGGCTGACTAAGCCGTGTGGTCCGAGCTCTAGCTGCTGCCTTACTGCCGACCTCCCTCCACCTCCATAGAACAACAAGAACAATCACAATCATTTCAACTCGTTGCAACGAAGGTGATTCCGATACCTTAGCCGTATCAACACTGATCAGTGGTTGCTACACCACAGATCGGCTAGATATCTGACAAGGAGACCCATCAGCTCTTTTGCTGTGTAGTCTTGGCCAAGAAGCGACTCCTCCTACCTCACAGTAGCAAGGAGTGCGAAGTACAGCACCGCCCGCAGAGACTACCTATCAAGGTAGCGCTTTCGCCGACAGTCCTGAAGGAGATCTTGAACGAAAAGATCTGCGTCAACCACGCACAAAAACAACTGACAACGCCTGCAACTAACAGCAAACAATCGACTGACTTCAGCACCATGGCACCATACAAGAGCGTCAAGTACCGATCGTGGTACTCCGAGATGCACAAGAGTGAGTATGTCAACGCGGAACTCGACCCGACCGACACAGTCATAAACACCGACAAACTGAACACTGTCGTCCTCGATTGGGTCGTCCAAGTTGAAGACGATGGACAGTTCGACCTCTTCATCCTCCAGGAGTTCCAAAAGTCCTTCGAGGATTGGACTCAAGATATCATAACTGCGGTCGACGTGCGGCTCCGGAAAGCAGTCAAGGAATTGCTCCGACACCGAGGGATTTACATCCAGATCAACAGTCGTGACACAGTAATAACGCAACTGTACAACCTCCTCCATCTCTCGTCGTGCCCGATATGGCCTGACGACGAGCTTGAGCTTATGCGACTCGTCGACGGTTTCAAGTGTCGACAGCTCACAAACAGCAACTACAGTTACCCTAACCCTCCGCAGCCACCAACAGGATACCCACAAGCACAGTACTCACCGTCGCCAGCTCAACTCAACGTGACAGCACTCACAAACCTCGCGAAGCTGTACAATAACAACGATAAGTTCAGTGGTGACAAGTATGACGTGCTCAGTCACAAACTGGTCATCTTTCGAGAGCTTTGCGCCAAAGTCGGCATTCAACCTGGCCAAACTGACCGCTACAAGCTAGCCATCTCCACTATGCTTACTGGCAAAGCGTCAACTTACTACTACCAATCTATCGCTCCACTTGACCTTGGATACGAAGACATCATCGCGAAACTGGGCGCCTACTTCCACACTACCGAGAACTACCAGTTGTTCTTGAACGAATGGCGCACCATTATGCTAAAGGACGTCATCGCAAGTAATCCTGACAAGACAATTGCGCAATGCCTTGACTTGCTCATCGACAAGCTCCACAAGCTGTACCAAGCGATGGCTCAGCAGAATGGACTCAGCGAGTCAAGCCTCACCGGACAACTTGTGTCAGCATGCCAGGGTGTCGAAGCCTGCAGCGCAGTCCTGATCCGACCTGCGTCGACCTTTGAAGCAGTCGCTTCAGAGCTCCGCAACGCCGTCGGTAACTGGCAACGCTGTCACCCGCATGCTCGAACGCAGTTCAACTATGACAATGAACAGACAGACGATGACATCTTCTACACAAACCGACGATACAACCGAAACGACGAACCTCGCGACAGACCCCGAGGCTATGGCACCGGTCGCTTCAACCGCGGACCGACGCTGTCACGACCGCGATACCCTCCCCGCCGCTCGCACGATAAAAAGTGCTATGTGTGCGGCAAACAAGGATGCTGGTCAACGCGACATTCACACGAGGAGCGCAATGAGTCGCACCAACGCTTCAAGACTTATGTCCAAAACCACGATCTCGATGACGACTACGACGTGTTCCTCGCCGGATTCGAAGGCATCGAGCTTCATGACGAGGCAGAGGACGACGACGGCAACTGCGTTGATGACCTCGATGCGTACTTCCAACATGAACAATTCAACACCGCTGCTTGCGGAACCATCGACGGGCAAGCGCTCACCATCAACCTCAACGACGCCGCGGCGACCCACGCGATCACTGGGATCGACCCATACGCGTCGGAGACTGCAAAGGAGGCACCCCACATGTTCACCTTCGATCACCGATATGGTGCTCACTGTTTCCAAGGCATCATGCCCGACACCGGCGCGGCCGGAGTCTCCACTGCAGGAAAGACCCAGGTCATGGCACTGCAACGCCTCCAGCCATCGGCCACGATCAATGAGTCCACGGCAGGTCGCCACCGAATTCGATTTGGAGATAACCCAGAGTGTCTCTCACTTGGCGAGGTGAAGGTCAAAACCCCGCTCGGCGTTATACTTTTTGCGGTGATGCCGACCAACACGCCTTTCTTGCTGTGCCTTGCAGACATGGACCGCCACGGGATCTACCTCAACAATGTTGACAACGTGCTTGTACACGAGTCACGGGAGTACCCCATTGTGCGCAAATGGGGACACCCATGGCTCCTACTCGACGACCAAGAGACCGCGACGCACTACCTCACCGAGGTAGAGCTTGCGCAACTCCATCGGCGCTTTGGTCATCCAGCTGCGGGACGACTCTACAAGGTCCTCGCGAGAGCAGGTTATGACGAAGTCGATGCGGCGACCATCGAAAAGATCAACAAGTTCTGTCACCAATGTCAGATTACTGGCAAGGCGCCAGGACGATTTCGGTTTACCCTCCGCGACGATATCAACTTCAACTATCGACTTATCGTCGACGTGATGTACATTAATCAGAGGCCAGTACTTCATGCTATTGACGAAGCAACTGCCTTCCAAGCAGCGCGCTTTCTCACCGACATGAAAGCAAGCACAACATGGGACACACTCCGCGCCATGTGGATCGATATGTACGTTGGTCCGCCTGATGTCATAGCCACCGACGCTGGCAAGAACTTTGCGAGCGAGGAGTTTGTCAACAATGCAAAGACAATGGCCATCGAGGTTGACGAGGTGCCTGTCGAGGCGCATAACTCCATCGGCAAGGTGGAGCGGTACCATGCGGCCATCCGCCGTGCCTTCGAAGTCATCTCCGCCGACATAGACAGCGACACGTCATCTGAACACCTCCTCCAGATGGCTGTGAAAGCCGTCAACGACACTGCTGGTCCAGATGGCCTTGTGCCTACTCTCCTCGTCTTTGGCACCTACCCCCGCCTATCCAAGACATCGCCGCCATCACCATCCATCAGCGCGCGCGCGAAAGCGATAAAGAACGCGATGGCGGAGGTCCGCAAGATCAAAGCAAAACGCCAGGTGAACGACGCACTTGCGACACGCAACGGACCGAACGTCATTGAAACGCTTCAGCTCCCGATCCAGAGCAGCGTAAAGGTTTGGCGCGAGAACCGCGGTTGGACTGGTCCCCATACCCTCATCGCCATGAACGACGACCTAACCGCCGCGATTGTCGACGTCGACGGCAGGCAGGCGACATTTCGAGTCACATCGGTGCAGCCATACCACCGCAACAACTCCACCGTTATCCCGCGCGACGACGACGACAACGACAATTGCGGGGATGCGGACGATGACGAGTTTATCCCAGAGACAGAAGTTCCACCTCCACGAAAGCGCGGTCGCCCCAAAGGCTCCAAAAACAAGCCAAAACCAGCTCCCATCGAGACCAACGACGTCAACCTCACGCAACGCGAGGAGGACGACTTAGTGCTGTCCAGGAAGCTGCGTGCCACTGGCAAGATCACAACCCTAGGCGAACCATTCGAACTATCCACCAAGGCAGAGATTGACGCGCTGATCACTCGCGGAGTGTTCCGCTTCGAGGAGTATGACCCTCAGCGCCATGGTGGCATCCGCGTCTTTAAGTCACGGATTGTCAACGAGGTCAAAGGCAAAACTACCACTAAGCCGTACGAGAAATCGCGCCTCGTTGTTCAGGGTTATGCCGATGATGGAAAACGGATTGTGCTCACACAAAGCCCGACGATCCAGCGCGCCAGTCAGCGCATTATTATCGCGCTTGCACCCTCACTGCTTCAAATGGGCATGACGCTATGGCTTCGAGATATCACGCAGGCGTACACGCAAGCCGATGACCATCTCCAGCGCACGATCATCGCGGATCTTCCCACGCAACTCCGCAATGTCTACCCCAAAGGCACCATCATGGTGGTCGTGAAGCCGCTGTACGGCATCGCCGAGGCAGGAGCGTACTGGTGGTCAACCTACTTCAAACACCATACCACGACACTCGGGATGGAAACATCAACCTATGACCCGTGCCTCTTAATCACCAAGCCAACGGCGTTAGGCTTTGGTATTGTCGGCATGCAAACTGATGACACGCTCGGTCTGTCCGATGACGTGTTTGCCAATAAGGAGAGCAAGGAGCTGCGCTTCAGCGCCAAAGAGAAGCAGTTTCTTACTACTAACAACCCTATCGACTTTAACGGGTGCGTCGTTAGTCTCACAACAGACGGCGTGATCACACTACGCCAAAAGAAACAAGGTGAGAAACTGGAGATCGCAACTGACAAGAAGACGTACATTCAACAACGCGCACGTGGCGCTTACATCGCGACAATCTGTCAACCCGAAGCAAGCTTCGACCTCGCCGCTGCTGCGCAAGCGAGTGAGCCTACAAAAGAAGAAATATCCAAGTTAAACAAACGCATCGAATGGCAAAAGAAGAACCTCTGCCATGGGTTGACCTACGTACCTCTGGACATACGCAACCTCAAGCTGTTTACCCTAGTCGACGCGTCCTTTGCCAACAACAAGGATATGAGCTCCCAGA